ATTAAACCAAAAACAAAAGTGGAATTGTGGATTACTACATTTTGTATGATTAAACCATAGATTTATCTAATTTTACCATATCTTACCATATTTTACCATATGGTAACAAACTAGATCACTACAGTAACATCATATAATAGTAGAAGTTTTAAGATGATGACTTACCTCTTGACAAATTTTTTGTTTTTGCATCTTATGTACTCCAGGATGTTGCTGAACATATCATCAGGTGTTGTTTGTGTTGGTGTTGACAGTTCACCTGGTGATCTTTGTGATTGTGGAGCAACTGGTTCAACAGTTGGAGTATTGAGGTCCTCTAGGTAAGCATCTATACATTCACGCACTTCCTTGAGCTTCTCTTGGCTGTTTGTGTACAGATTTGACCATGCTATATATGACTGCTTCTGTGACTGGGTGCTTTGTGGCTGTGTTGGTGGTGGTGTTCTTCTTGCCTTCTTTTCATATACATTCAAATTCTTCACCACAATTCTTCTTTTGCGAGGCTCTCCTGGTTGATTGGTTGCCGTGGTGGTAGTCAACTTTGTTGGTGTTGTTGGTGTTTGATGGTTGAGAGGGCTGAGATCGAAGGATGGAATGTCATCTTCCCTTGTCACTTTAGGCTTCTCATCAGCTTTGGTTGTCAATTTTGGAGTCTCTTCTCGAACAACATCATCTGACACCGTTTTCTCGCTGTCAGTTTCTGTAGTCTTTTGTGCAGCTTGCCCTGTATTCCCTTCTTTTGTTGTTTCCTTATCAACATCCATTGGATCTACTGTTTTTGTAGCTCCTTTTTCTTCTGTTTCTTTTGCAGATGTCTGTTCTGGAACTGCTTTCGGGGTGTTCTCTTGTTGTGGTGTTCCCTGATTCAGACCTTCTTGAATAGATTGTGATGGTGGTTCTGTTGCAACTTTCCCTAGTGGATCTCCTTCTTGGATGCTTTCCCTATTCACAGCTCCTGGAGCAGAATCATCTTGCTCCTTCGGTGTAGATGCAGCAAGATAGACTGTAGATGGTTGTGAATCATCTTCTTTCTGTGTTTGCTCCTCGTTTTCCTCTTTGTTCTGGTTTTTGTTTGCGTGTTTGAATATTTCATTAATTGTTTTATCCAAACTGGCATTCATTTCTTCATCATTCTCTTCTTCATCATCTTCACACTGAGATTTTTCTCCTTCTGTGGGCTGAACATATTCATCACAACTTTCTTTCTCAAGATTCTCCTTGTGTCTGATCAGATTCTCAATTTGGCTGTTGTACTGGTCTTTGATTGCTTTCATCATTGCCTTCATTGATGCTTCAAGCAGTTTGATTGCATTCTCAGCCTGCATAATGGGAGTTTTGTAAGATACCATGGTGATAATGTGTGTATGGTGTATGGTTAGTTACCATGGTGGTAATACATGGTATTGGCAATTATTATCACTATTCTCCATTTTTTATAACATGAAACCATATCTTACCACATGGTAACAAAGTAAAACAGAACAAGAATTATGGTTTCCTCCATTTTTATAACATGAAACCATAGCTTACCACACCTTACCATATGGTAACGAAGTAAAACACAACAGGACTTATGTTTTCCTCCATTTTTATAACATGAAATCATAGCTTACCACACCTTACCATATGGTAACAAACTAAAACACAACAGGACTTATGGTTTCCTCCATTTTTATAATATGAAAACCATAGCTTACCACACCTTACCATATGGTAACAAACTAAAACACAGAAGGAATTACGGTTAGCACGTATTGGACAACTGTAATATAGATAATTTGTACTTACTTGGTTGACTGTTCTGATATTCTTCAAATCAAAGTTCAGTGATGATGACTGGTCTGGAGTTTTGTTTCTTTGTCTTTTCGGTGACTGATAGACTGGCTCATTCTCCTCTTCCTCATCAGTTGCATCATCAGCCTCATCATCACTAATGTTGGCAACCTTTTCGATCTCGGTCAACTCTTTTCCATTGTAGTAGCTCTTAATGTTCTCAAAGTTGGTTTCGACATTGAGATCATCATAGTAGCTTACTGTTGGTGTTCGAAGCTGGGTTGAGAATGCCATTTCGTCCAGTTTGTACATGAAGCATACCTTTTTATGCCGATAGTCGTATTAGTTTTTTCAAAGATTATCATTTATATGTAAAATATATGAGTAACAAGGTTGAAATGGCCAAGGGAATGGAGACTTACTGTAAGGAAGTGAAGATCTGCACTGACATAGAGGTTTGATGATTTCAATCCTTCATTCATGTGTTTGAAGAAGTATTTGCACCAGTTGTAGCTGGTGAAATGTTTCAGTTCTTTAGTCTTCAAGTACTCAAGCATGTTGAGTTCAGCCATAGGCGCTGAAGTTGGACAGAGCAAGCCTCCGATGACCAGCAGAAAGAACAATTGTAACCATCTCTTACTGTTTGTAGTTGTAGGAAGATCTTTTTCTACCTGACTTAGCTTTACCCTTGGAGTGGATGTTCCATCTACTTCGAGTAGGGTTTCTATTGCATAATCTGCTGTGTCGTCCCAAGAAATCATGGGAGGTACAACTTCTCTATTCCCCATCGGCAGACCATATACTCTATGAATGTCAATTGGTGATATCTTCATGCGTGTCCCGTCAGGTAGCTTGAACGATTCTTTCATTGGATTGTATTTGTTCATTACGAACAGAGCAAAATGATTGTTTATCTTTGTCTGCCTGATTGATATTAAGCATGCTAGGCCTAATATATCAAGTTGCGCTTTCCGCTCATCTGTTATTGACCTTGCAATTGCAGATACTCTTGTTGGGCTGCACCTTGTGCGAAAACTTTGTCTTGGTTTTACCATAGTGTACCTGAATGTAGAAATTAGTAATAGTCTGTTAGTATGCTTTTTACCATAATATACCATATGGTACCATAATGGTTTCCTACCATACCAAATCAAACCATATATTTATCACATTTTACCATATGGTAATTACATGAAACCATGTCTTATAACATCTTACCATATGGTAACGAAGTAAAACACAACATGACTTATGTTTTCCTCCATTTTTACAACATGAAACCATAGCTTACCACACCTTACCATATGGTAACAAACTAAAACACAGAAGGACTTATGGCTTTTTGCTATTTTACAACATGAAACCATAGCTTACCACACATTACCATATGGTAACAAACTAAAACACAGAAGGACTTATGGTTTTTTGCTATTTTACAACATGAAACTATAGCTTACCACACATTACCATATGGTAACAAACTAAAACACAGAAGGTCTTATGGTTTTTTGCTATTTTACAACATGAAACCATAGCTTACCACACATTACCATATGGTAACAAACTAAAACACAGAAGTTCTTATGGTTTGTTGCTATTTTACAACATGAAACCATAGCTTACCACACATTACCATATGGTAACAAACTAAAACACATAAGGAGTTATGGTTTTTTGCTATTTTACAACATGAAACCATAGCTTACCACACATTACCATATGGTAACAAACTAAAACACAGAAGGAGTTATGGTTTTTTGCTATTTTACAACATGAAACTATAGCTTACTACACATTACCATATGGTAACAAACTAAAACACAGCAGGAGTTACAGTTTCTTGCCTTTTTATAACATGCAATCATAGCTTACCACACCATACCATGTGGTAACGAAGCAAAACACAACAGATTCTACACCAGTTCAGCAACGCATGGTAACGATTCGGTAATGTAGCGAGTTTTACTACAATTTTCACATGAAGAGTGACTGAAATACTGTTTCTATTGTTCTTTGGATAGATTTCGAAGAAAGAAATGAGGTTTTACCTTGATATTTTGTGCAAAAACGATTTTTGAGCCTTGTTGAAGTTGGAAACCCTTCGTTTTTCGACGAAGAAGCGAGAACAGTGAATCGTTGAATGATTCTTCGAAAACCTTTGCGAAAATCCTTCGATTTTTGAAGTTTCTTCTGTGTTTTCTGAAGTTTTTGGTGCGCGATGGATGAAGAATGGAGAGTTAGAGAGCAGAGGGAAGTGGAATTGTGGCGTGAAAGGTGAGAGAAAGAAGGAAAGAAGGCGGCACGGTCACGTCTCCTTTTCAAATTGTCAGATCGAAGATTACTATTTTATCCCCCCCCCCATGTAGTTACTTTGCATGATTTGACGGTTGAAAAGCTGATGGAATGGACGGTGGATAGGGCGGTTACTGATGGTTACTGAGGGGATCCGGACCCGAGAGGAAGCATACCTGCTGAGTCTATCAATTGAGATTCCACCAAAGAGAAGGAATGTCTATTCCGCATTGGAGAAGCAAGCATAGTGGTGCGGCGCAACTTTGGAGATTATTTGTTTACTTGTTTGTTTTATTTGTCATTTAATAGTTTATTTAATAGTTTTATTTCTTATTTAAATAGTATTATGTTTTCTATTTGTTTCTCTATTCCTTTTAGGTTAGATATATGTTTTTATGACCTCTATAAATAGAGTGTGTAAGACCTACGAATTTTGTACCCAATATCCAATATTCAAATCAAAGTTTAGAGTGCTTACTCATGTTCCTTTGTGAACGTTTGTGTTAATCTTTCTGTTGAGGATTCTAGGAGATTTTCACGTGTCTCTTATCAACTGGAGAACGCGTCTAGTTGTGCCGAGCATCTACCAAATAGCGATTGGCCTTATCTACGAGTGGGTGATTGTTTGATTGTTTTCATATACCAATTGACCCTTCACACGAGTTGAGATCTGTTTGATCGTGTTCCATAATCTATCCTTTATTTTCAAGTTGTCAAGAAAAGCTTTGAAAAATCCTTAAAAAGAAGGAAGGCTACGTACTTTGGTCATATCATCCGAGTTCGAGGATTCTCTTCGGATTTGGATCACATCAGGATGATCATTCAATTAGCTGATAGATCCATTTTGCATACTAGGGGTATTGCAGAGGACTTGATAGTCCCAGTTGGGCCATTCTCATATCCAGTAGATTTTGTTATTCTTGATATTAATGAGGATGTAGATGTGCCTTTCATTATGGGTAGGCATTTTCTCGCCATCGCCAAGTCGCTAATTGATGTTAATGATGGCAAACTAATTTTAAGGGTTGGGGGAGAACAAATCACCTTCTTTGTTTATGATAATATGAAACACCCCCAGCTCCATGATGATTTAGATTACTGCGATGTTATTGCTGATTTTGAGACCGCACTCGCCATCACGAGTGTGGGTACTAATGATTTCCTCAAGCGTTGTCTTTTGCTAGAGGAACAAGCATTGTAGGAGTTGCAGCTGGAGGAGCAGCTCGCAGAACTAGAGGGAGCTGTGATTGAGGGGCGAGAGAAGCCATTCAAGCAGATCTCTCTATCTCGCCCCGGATCGCCACATCATTGGAGGAGCCACCAAAGCTGGAGTTTAAGCCCCTCCCTTCTCACATGGAGTACGCATTTCTCCGGGAGGGGAATAAGCTCCCAGTCATAATCAACTCAGATCTGACACCCGAGCAAAAGAGCAGACTGGTGGCTCTGCTGAAGAAGTACTGCCGTGCCATGACATGGAAAATAACTGACATTAGAGGTATTAGCCCATCCTTCTGCTCCCACAAAATTTTGATGGAGGATGAGGTTAAGCCAATCAGGCAGCCGCAGCGGCAATTGATTCCTAACTTGGAGACAGTGGTCCGGGGAGAGATCGTAAAGTTGATGGATGCATGGATCATCTTGCTATATCCGATAGCAAGTGGGTTAGTCCCACGCAGGTGGTCCAAAAGAAAGGCGGGATGATTGTGGTCCCGAATGAGAAGAGCAAGTTGATCCTGATGCGGACCGTGAGTGGTCGGCGAGTCTGCATCGACTACCAGTGCATGAACGACGCCACCAAAAAGGACCATTTTCCTTTACCTTTCATTGATCAGATGCTGAAGAGGTTGGCTGAGTTTTACTAGTTTTTGAATGGCATGCATGCCAACAAATTCGGCCTATTATGATGGGGCCATTTGGTCATATTAGATACCTATATATATTTTGTCATAATTGATCTAATATGACAAAATTGTTTGTCACGACGGTTTGTCATTTTATCGCCGTCAGGATAGGTCAGATGTGACAAATTCTTGAAACACATTTTTCACATATGCTTCCGGTATATATGAGGTTCTGGATAGTCTATTGTGACAAACAAAGATATTATGACGAAATCTTTTGTCATTATCGTTGTCATAAATTGGTACTTTTGAGAAATTTGTTGGTCATATTAGACAATCATAGTTTGCCATAACAGTATTTTGTGACGAATAATAGTTGTCATGTGATGTTCATAATTTGTCACAAGCCTAATATGACAAAACGTTTGTTTGTCGGGAAATGTTTATAATGTGACAAACTGAAAATTTTGTCAATGTGTTTTGTCATATTACCGGGTTTGTACTCATGCATCACAATGTTGTGATTAATTTATTTTGTCATAATTTATGTTGTGACGATTATCCTTTGTCATAAATGCATCTACAACGAATATATTTTGTCATTTCAGTATATTAGGACGAACGCATTTTGTCATAACTTATAATTGTGACGTGGCGATTTTGTCATAAATCCGTATTATGACGAGTATAGCTCGTTAGGAAAGGTTGTTTATTTGACTTCTGTGTAATATGACAAAGTGAGAATTTGTCATGGACTTTACATAATATGAAAACTTTCCATTGTTGTCACATTTGTCCTGCTTCACAAATTACATAATGAAAAATTTTATCCTGCATTGCAAATTGATCATGGAAATATTGGAAAACATCTAAAATATTATATCCATGTTCATTCTCATAACAGTGTACGTCCTTGTTCAACATAAAAAAACATTCTAAGTTGTCCAAGATGACACAACACATGAAACTCCTTGTTCACCACAGTACAAACCATGATAACTTTGTTCACAAAAGCATAAACTAACATACTTCTAACATCAACAACTAGCCTGCAGTCTCATCTGCCTCTGCAAACTGAGGCAGTGTTGTTACCTTTGACTTAGCAGTTCATTTGCGGGGTAATTGGTGAGCAATCAGTAGCACTTGATGCTGTAGCTTGTCCTGGGCGGCTTTCATCTGGTTTATCTCCTCTGCTTGAGTATCAAACCTCTCCTCCTGGTTCTGTAACTTTTCTTCCTGGAGTTGTATCTTCTCAGCCTGCCTTTTTAGCTGCTCCTCCTGACTCTGTATCTTCTCCGCAAACTCCTTGGCTTTTCTTTCCGCTTCAGCTTTTGTTGCTTCCGATTCTGCTTGGAGTTGAAACTCCTTTGCTGATCTTGGGTTCTCCTTCGGTCCATACTTCACCTTTTTCTTGAGGACCTTCTCAACAATCTCACGGCCTGATATAGGCTTCCCCTCTGCCTTTGCTTCTATCCAGATGGACTGTATCTCCAACTAGGCATTGAACAACAAAGGGTAATGATATATGGCACGTGGTTTGGTATGAACTACTCGAAAATGAAACAAGGCACAAAAGGATGAACTCACATAGTTCTTCTGCGGTTCCTCCGATACCCAACTACCGTCAGCCCGCTGATACCTCTTCGCATACAGTAGCAGATCTACTGGCTCCTCCTCTACGGTATCACAGTCATCCATGTCAATTTCCCGCTCTTCTTGAGTAGGTTGCTCCTCCTGCTACTTTTGCTTCTTTTTCTTCTCCTACACGAAGCAAGGAAGGTTCCACAATGAGGCAGAGTTAAACCAAGAAACGAATAACATGAATGTATAAATTAGTCATTGAATTCGAGAACACTTACCAATTCATATATTCTTTGATCAAGCGATTTTGCACCAGAAGTGTTTGCATACACTTGCTTACTCTTGTTGGCTTTATTTATTTGGCTTCGCTTCTGCATATGAAAAATACAAGTCATTAGCAACCATTGATTGTAAGGTAAGGTAACACATTAAAGAATTGATGATGAAACAGAAGGAGTTACTTACTAGAAAGTTTTCACTCTCAAAGTGATCACACAACATATGCCAATCCTCTATGTTCATCTCCACTGGAGGGTCTGTCATGGCTGTCTGAGGGTCTTTCGGGTAGTGAGCGTGCATCACATACTTGTAATTGATGAACCGCTTCTTCATTCTCTTCTCCATAATCTTCCTTGCATACGCACCTGCCTTGTCTATGTCAAATTCATCCTACATGAAAACAAATTATATAGTTCATATACCAACAGATAGTGAATTTTCCCAAGTTAATCAAAAAGGAACTACAACTTTGCATTTCACGGTCTAATCATCAACGTAAATAAGATACAAACTCTGAAACTGCAAAGGAGAAAACAGGGGAGCCATGCCAATGAGGCAACAACAAGCTTTGCTGCCTCGTCCCACTCCCAGACCACAAACTACTGGGCAATATATAAAAAGAAATACAATACGAAAAAAAAAACTAACAAACAACATAAAAAAAATATGTCAAGATTAGCCTACTTCATGTAAAACTAGCAGTACTCGAAAATTACCTCTAGCTTCTTGAATAACGGGTGCTTGTCTGCTTCAGTCAACTTGGACCAGTAGTACTATCTTATCGGGGCCATCAGTCGTGTCACGACGCCCAACTCTATCTTCAGCAAGCTCTCATTTGGGCCTACGAATGACTACCCATTCTCCATTATGTAAATTCCATCTATCTTGGCTCCAGTCCCGGTCCTTTTTATTATCTCATACCCTTTGGACAATCCCCTCTTCTTAGTCACAAGGGGCTCTTCAGGCTCAGTTGGAGTAGCACATTCTCCGTTGTCAAGATTGGATGCTTCTACCTCATAATCGTTGTTGCTAGTTGGTTCGGTTGAATGCACACTGGCTGTGGGGTGAGTTACCTCGTTAACTGAGGTTCTAGTTCGGCATCCAACACACCCCCCCCCCCCCCCCCCCCCCCCCCCCCCCCCCCCCGCTTACAGATTCGGTTGACCTAGCAGGCTCCGGGCGCACCCTCCCTAATCTTGTCGCCCAGTAAAAACCTAAGAGAGGCACTCAGTTGTCACCAGCAACCTTCTTCTTCTTGAGTGGCGGCATCCCTGCACCAGAAACGAACAAATGAGTCAGGCAACATGAGGAGGACCTTAATCATTTCCATGCAACCTTGTTAAGGTAATGATTCGTATAAGTACTAATTAGTAGCGAATACAAAATGGGCTTAATTAGCATAGGCAACAAAAAACGAGGAAAGGTCCACATCCTACGCCTACGCCTAAGACATCAAAGGGAGACAGCGGGTGGAATAGGCAACAATGGCATCAAAGAGAAACCCTAATCCTAATTATGTGTCGCACGATGCGAAAATTGACAGAGCGTCCACGGAAATGAAGAATTAAACAGATAATATCGTTCGAACAAGAAGTGATTGGAGGGTTTAAACATAAACAGAGCAGAGACATAAACTAGAAACAGGGATTTTGGAGACCATGAAGGGCGATTTGAAAGATGGGAACGCGGATTTTGGAGACCATGAGGCGATTCGGGAGCAACGTTTACCTATTAAACGATGACCCAAACAATAGCGAAGATTAGGCTGTGGTTTTGTCAACGGTAGGAACGACTAGGAAGAATCAGATAAAAATCTCCATAAGAGAGATGGCGCAGCGAAGGGTCGATGAAAATGGAATTGGGGAAGATAGAATTAGGGTTGGTACAAAGGAACCCTCCATCCCGTCCCTTTCTTACGTGCTTATTGGGCCCATGCTATTTCATTATCGGGCTATGCTATGTGGGCTCAAAACCACTTATTATCAAACAACACTTTGAGCCCCATTAGTACCGCTTCTTCATTAACCCAACCTTCCTCATACAGGAACATTAACATCCAACTGCTGCAAAAACACCATTATCAACCAACAATTCGAAGACACAAAGGAAGTTCATATGAGTACCAGAGAGAAAAACACAGACCCCAATATCTAACAACTAAGATAGCAATAACCAGCCTCCATTGACAGCATCAACCAGCAAGTTAAAAGCCATATAAAGCACTACCCAAAATTCTGTTAAAATGAAACTAAGGCCCCCCAAAAATCCGTACACTTCTAGTAATACAAAATCTGCAAACATCGAAAGGTAGCAACCAACACTCTGCCAATGTGTAAAAATGATTATTTCTTTATGCCGTTATTAGGCTTCTTCCTCGTCACTGAAGGATAGATCATCATCATCATAGTGTTCAGTTTCATGCCATGCACCACCATTCTTAATATCCGCAATGTAAAACACTTGGTTAGCCTGACTGGCTAATACATATGGGTCCTCTATAGCCCATTTTCTATCCATGTTTATGCTCGTCAAGTGTCCATCCATCCTTATTCCATTCTTCTTGTCCCCCACATTGAACCACTCGCACTTGAATACAAAGACCCAATGCCCTCCACAATATTGCAACTTAATTATGTCTACCAGAACCCCGTAATAATCTATAGTCTCGTCATTGTGGCTAGCCCGAACAACGACACCACTATTCCGAGTTCGATGACCTTGATCAGTCATTTTTATTTGGTATCGAAACCCGTGAATAGTGAGACCAGGATATCTAGTAATACGTTCATCAGCCCCTAATCCTAGGACATATGAATGGTCTGTCTCTTTAAGCGTGCCAGCCAAAAACTTTTCAGAGACCTAAAAAAACGTAATGAAAGGGGCCAGAACATTGTGCTGCTGTGAGTAATAAAAAAACAAATGGAAAAAAGTGGGCTTCCAAAATTTGTAAACCAAGATGGGCAGCTAGCTGCAATAGTTAGATTGCGGTCTTGTGTGTAAGAAAAGATAAAAAATTGGAAAAAATTGGGCTTACAAAGGTTTTAATCCAAGATGGGAAGTTTTCGGCAGTGGTTGCTGGTGTACTGTTTGGAAATTTCAGGATTCTCTCTTCCGTATGCATATTGTAACCGAAATTGTTAAGCACAAAAGGTATAAAAAAAACTAAATGGGGTTCAGAGTAGGCAAAGGAAAAAGAACTTACTTTAATTTTTGTTCAATTTCATCACAATTGGTGAAGACATACCATTGGATCTTATGGAAATCAGCCTGCTCTATAGGGTCGTAGTTTGCAGCACCAATACATCTACCTTTGTAGCGGAAAACATCAAACCCCTTGTAATTCAAATCGTCTAACCCGTCATCATTTCTATCTAGCCTATTTGCTTGGGTTTCAACACCTTTAAGATATCTAGAACAGAAATCCGAACATTCTTTCGCTATATACCTTTCAGCAATGGATCCCTCGGCACGGGCCTTATTAGAAACATAAGATTTAAGTGTTCCTAAAAACCTAGAAAAGATAACCAAGAAAACGTCACAATACCAAAGTTAGCTACGTTATATAGAAAGTCGGAGAAAAAAAAATTAATGGGTGCGACTCAGTGTGTACCTCTCCATTGGGTACATCTAGTGATACTGCACCGGTCCCCCGAGTTCCATTTCGCAGGGAAGGTGAATAGGCAGATGCATCATCACGACGAAGAAAGCTGGTGGGTACAACATTTACAGGTTGCAATGTATAACTGGAATGTTCTCACTAAGGTTCCTAACAGTGGACGTGGTTATCGTTCTTGAAAACAACTCACGAAAGAATTCACTAAGTTGAGACAATATATTATATACTTCTTTGCTCAGGAACCCTTGTGCGACAACAGGCAGAAGGCGTTGAATGAAAACATGTGATCATGGATTTTGATACCAGTGACTGACCTACCATCAGTAGTCACACACCGAGATATATTAGATGCATAAGGATTTGGGAACTTGTGTGTGCGTCATACGTACTGACCCCATCCTCCCATAACTCTGTCAACATTTCTATTAGGGGCTCTAAGTACACATGTATGTTATTATCAGGTTATTTCTCTCCAGGTATAAGGACAGCAAGGATAAAATAAGGTTCTGTCATACATTTCCAAGGCGGGAGATTGTATGGTGTTAACATGACAGGCCACATGCTATAGCTATTGCTCATATTCCCAAAAGGGTTGAACCCATCACTCAGAAGAGCAAGCCGAACATTCCTAGGGTCTGCTGCAAACCAACTATGATCCTCATCGAACCGTTTCAAGTTTTTGCATCTGCCGGATGCCGTAACGTATCATCATCGACACGCAAGTCCTTTTGCCACCTCGTGTCTTTAGCATCTTCCTTAGTCATGTACAATCTCTGAAGCCTTTTTATTAGTGGGAAATACCTAGCTTTCTTTTGGGCTACATCATTTTGTTTCCCAGGTATGTATCTAGACTCATTGCATTTGGGACATGACTTGGCAGATTGTAGAGGACCTCTATAGAGTACACAATGATTTGGGCATGCATCTATAGTTGTGTAACCGAACCCAAGATCTTCCATGTACCTCTTTACTTCGTAGAAGGAAGAAGGAAGGGTCTCACCAATAGGTAAAGCTTTCTTGACTAGGTCCATATTCATATTGAAGGCTTTGTTAGTACTGTTGGTTACCAGTTTATTATTCAGCAACTTCATAACGAATGATAATCTGAAAAAGTTTTTGCATCCAGGGTATAATGGCAAATTGGCATCACGGATTAGCCGAGCCAATTTGTCATTGAGGTATGTTAGATTAGAATAATTAGGGGATGTTGACCCCCCCAATCACAGGAGCATTTTCAGAAGAGGAACACATCAGATCCCCTAACATATCAGCCATATCATCCTCTAAAGCCTTAGTCTCAGGCACAACAGTAGGTTGACTAGGCTGATTACTAGTACTCGCAAATTAAAATGACTCACCATGATGGATCCATGTAGTATATGTCTCCACCATGCCAGTCTTGGTTATATCATTTGCGACAATCTCCAATTTCTTGAAGTTTCGATTATTACACCTTTTACAAGGGCATCTAGTTCTACCTAGCATATCAACATGTTTGCTGGCAGCCCCTATGGACTCAGAAACCCCTTTTTGGTATTCATCACAAAACCTATCCTTAAGCTTAATCCAATTTCTACTCATTCAATCTGTGCGTAAAGAAACTGACCTTCTCTTTATAGGCAAGAGTCAAGAAGGAAGAACAACGTGAGATGAACTAGAAAAGGATCTGCAGAGGGTAGATGACACACCATTAGGAACCAGTTCACTGACACCAATTCATTAAAACGCAAAATTGAAGACATTCCACTAATATTACCTTTGCCTAGTGCTTGGGGCGCCTTCTCACTATGCGCCTTAGCACAACAGGATGGTTGAAGGATCAAAGCTATAAGCAACCCCTGCCACCGAGTCAATGATGAGTAAACACAAGAGCTCATTCAGATACGAAAAACAATAGAATTACAATCTGGCCATATAAAGGGAATTACTAGGTGAAGAATAGTCTTAAGCTGAAGCAAACAATGCAACACACAGTTGGCAGAGGAGGGAGGGACGACGCTTACGTGGTTCTGCCATAATAGGGATTTTGCTAAGGGACACGAGGGTTCGAGATAGATTCTGCTACGGGGACGATTTGATACAACGATTGACCTTGCTGAGATTCAGGATTTGCGAACAAAGGCAGTGAGTCGCGGTTGGGACGACTGGTGAAAGAGATTTGACGGAACACCCAACGTCGAGCGCCTGGCCGATTGGTAGAACGGCAGGAAAAGGATCGAGCACTTTGGATTTTTGCTGGTGATTTTCCTTTTGGGCTCTTGTAGATTTTGAACGACGGCTGAATTTGGAGATACAAGGAAGGCGGATAGTGTTTCTATTTTATGAAATTTATTTGACTTGTTCTGATTTATTTTCCCCGAGGAAAGAGGTTTCAGTATAACACGATCAAATATGACAAAATTCCTTTGTCACAACATGAAACCACTATATTATGACGAACATGCCCTTTTGTCAGCTAGGCATGAGATTATTATTCCCTACTGTGACAAAACGATTTATCATATAAACAATTATGGAAGACATATTATGACAAAATATACATTGACGATATAATTTGTCACTTTATCTCTTACAGCCCGTTATGGGTTACCTATTTGATAAACAATATTGTGACACAACAACTTTGTCACATTAAGTCCCTTAACTGAAAAAATATTCTGACAACACATTGTTTTGTCACATTAGGCACACCAAATAGGACATAAACCATTTTTGTCATATTATAGAACCTATTGTGACAAAACGAAAATGACAAAATTTTATTTTTGTCGTAATAGGCCGAATTTGTTGGACAGATGTCCGGATATTTCCAGATTCCCATTGCGCCAGATGATCAGGCGAAGACCACATTCACTTTCTCCTTTGGTACTTTTGCATACAGGAGGATTCGATTCGGGCTTTATAATGCACCGGCGACCTTCCAACGGTGTATGTTGGCGATCTTCGACCGATTGGTTGGAGAAATCATGGACGACTTCTCGGTTTATGGAGACTCATTTTCTCACTGTCTCCATAACCTGGAACTCGTTTGGCACTCAGCTGGGAGAAGTGCCATTTTATGGTTCGTGAGAGGATTGTGCTCGGGTACAAGATCTCCAAGCAGGGGATTGAGGTGGATCGCGCGAAGATTGAGACGATAAGTAAGCTACCTCTTCCCATTTCCGTGAAGGGGATCCGCAACTTTCTGGGTCATGCAGGTTTCTATTGGCTTTTCATTAAGGACTTCTCAAAGATAGCCTTGCCATTGACCAAGTTGCTCGAGAAGGATGCACCCTTTCATTTCACTTTAGAGTGCACAGCTGCATTCGAGAACTTGAAGGAGAAGCTTACCCATGCACCCATCATGGTGACTCCTAATTGGTCTCTTCCCTTTGAGCTTATGTGTGATGCGAGTGACTATGCATTCAGAGCTGTTATGGGATAGAGACGAGAGAAATACTTCAAGTCCATCTACTACGCGTCAAAGACCATGAACATGCACAAGAGAACTACAATACCACTGAGAAAGAGCTGCTCGCTGTGGTGTTTGCATTCGACAAGTTCTGACCTTAGTTGGTGCTCTCCCATGTCGTGGTCTACACAGATCACACTGTCATCCGCTACCTGATGAGCAAGGTCGAAGCCAAGCCTAGGCTCATCCGTTGGATCCGGCTACTGCAGGAATTTGACATCGAGATCAGAGACAAGAAGGGAGCCGAGAATGTTGTTGCCGATCATCTTTCACGGTTGGAAGCTTCAGCACCGGACAACTTTGTGGAAGAGATGAACGACTCCTTCCCGGGTGAGCGATTGATGGCGTTGTTCTTGGTGGAGAGCGTAACCCCTTGGTATTCTGACTTTTCCAATTATCTGGTGGGCAAACAGTTGCCTAAGGGGATGGCCACTCACGCAAAGAGCAAGTTCTTCTCCGACCTGAAGCATTATTTCTGGGAGGATCCTTACCTCTTCAGGATCGGGGAAGATGGCGTGATCCGGCGATGCGTCATGGAGCACGAGATGGGAGGCATAATGTCTCAATGCCACGAGGCACCCACGGGTGGTCATCATAGCGAGAACCGCACGCTGCGGAAGGTGCCGCAGTCTGACTTCTACTGGACCTCACTCTTCTAGGATGGAGATACCTTCTCACGATAGTGCGACCGCTGCCAGAGGTCAGGTAACATTTCTTACCGAGATGTGATACCCCAACATATTTCTGTTGTTTGTGAAATTATTTATGTTTGGGGAATCGATTTCATGGGCCCATTCCCTCCATCTCTTGGTAATATGTACATGCTGGTTGCGGTAGACTACGTCTCTAGGTGGGCAGAAGCTCAAGCCATGCCCACCAATGATGCAAGACGAGTCTGCTCATTTCTAAAGTAGTTGTTCTCCCGGTTCGAGACACCTCGAGCCATTATTAGCGATATAGGAACCCATTTTTAATGGCAATTCGCTAAACTCCTCTCTCGTTATGATGTTAAGCATCAAGTGTCGGTGGCTTACCATCCCCAGACGAATGGTCAAGCCGAGTTGACGAACCGGAGCTTAAGAGAATAATTGAAAAGACGGTGGATCATTCTCGAAATGATTGGTCCACCAAGCTCGATGATGCTCTCTGGGCATACAGGACAGCCTACAAGACTCCGATTGGTACTTCACCATATCGGCTCGTCTATGGAAAGGCTTCTCATTTTCCGGTGGAGATAGAAAACAAGGCCTTTTGGTCCCTTAAGCTGCTAAACCTGGATTTGAGTGCTGCATGTACTGAACGTAAGCTGCAACTGATGGAGTTGGAGGAATAGCATTACCATGCTTATGAGAATACCCGGCTCTACAAGGAGCGAACCAAGTTTTTGCCTATGGTTGTGTGTTTTTTTTAGTTGGGGCACAAATGGATTTGGTTGTTGGAAATTACGGTTTGAAAATTTTGACAGGGGAGCCTAAGCAATAAAATTACGGGCAATAGGGGTGAAAAATACGATCGTAATTCATCCATCTCAAGTGGCTGCTCACGGAAATAAAATTCCGGGCATGGGGGATTAAAATACGGCCATAGTTTCTTTCCCTTTTGCTCGTATTTAGACCAGCGAGTCAGGGTGCTCGCGTCAGTAAAATTACGGGCAAGAGAACAAGAACCACGGTCGTAATCATGACCGTAATTCATCCAGAAAGAGGGGAGGCTTGCGACATTAAAATTACGGGCGAGAGGCCAAGAATTACGATCGTAATTTGTGCCCGTATTTTAGCCCAGGTCTTTAAAAAACTGGCGACGAACATATTCTCTCTCCTCCCTCACTTTTCTGATCGTGTTCTCACTCTTGGTCATCGGAAAATTGCCCTCTTCATCTTCTTTGGCAGTTTTCCGGCAATATCTCCTTCTCCAGACCTCCAAATCCGAAACCGAAAACACCCCTGGACTCGTCTCATCACCGCGCACGTCTCTCGACCAGCTAGGTCGACTTTGGCGATGAATTCATCGCCGGAAAGTCGCGCCATTCCGGCAGTCTTTAGCCCCGATCTCCCTCCTCCGACCTCCAATCTGAAAATCATGACCACCAATGCATTCCTTGCGTCTGAGTCGTCGTTCGCCAGAGTTTTGGTTCATTTTGGCGGTGTTCAAGTTGCCAGCGAAGAAAATCTTGCGACCTTCCAGTGAGCTTTCCGCCAAATTTTAGTGGTGCTTCCCCTTTCCCTCACCTTCCCCGTGGTATCTCCTTGAGCCTCTAGGTGTGTTTCTCTCTTTATCTTGTCGAATTGTGGAGGATTGATACTTAGGGTTTAGGTGAGGAATTTGGGATTGGAGGTCTAATTGAATGAATTCGCTAGGCCTTAACCTTTGCATGCTTAATTGATTGACTTTATGTCCATTTGAACGCGTTGGCCTACCGATTGCATGTTTTGAATGAGGGAATTTATCGTACTTGGTGTGGAGAATGGGCTCATTGGGGCTTGCATGGTGGAATGTGATTTTGTGTATACCTCACTTGGAGCCTAGTCCACTGTCCATTTTTCTTTATTCGAAGGCTCCAAGTGCGGTTTATCTTGCTTGGTATGGAGAATTGATTATAGTATGCTTGAGTGGTGGAATTTGAGTTTGGATGTGAATGTGTACCTCACTTGGAGCCTAGTTCACTGTCTGAATGTTCTTATTCGAGGGCTCCAAGTGCAGTTTATCATGCCCCTCACCATTGACTTTGTTCCATGTTGTGTGCATTTATTGTCTTGTGGCTGCATGACCATGAACACCTACCTGAACATGCTTAGCCATGACCAAAAGAGGATTCAGCAGGAATTTAGGTGGCACTCTGTCTTTGAGCATAATCACCTCGATCTTGCGGTCTTTGCGAACTTGGGTGCTCGAGAGGCAATGGAGGCTGCTGTTAGTACCTACTCTTGGCGGCACCTTCTCTGCCTCTCTAAGTCGACTTATTAGGAGCTCTTATGGGAGTTTTATGCCACCTTAGAGCACTACCCGACCCGGGTTAGCACGCAAGGAAACACCATCCATTTCACTTTGGGCGGTGAGTCTCACTCCCTCTACTATGATGACTTCGCCCGGGCTCTAGACCTTCTTTCGTCCTATGCTTGCACCCTTGCTG